CAGTGGCGGCCAGGCGCGAGCGCTGAGGGCGCGACGAGCTCGCAGCCCGCGACGTCTGGGGCCGGTTCCAGTCGTCGCTTTGGTTCCCGCGCCCATTCACCTGACTCCTCCCCTATCCCCCACCCCCGCGTGCCTACGGTGCTTTCCATTTCTCACCTTGAAGGAAAACCTTCATTTATTACCTCCAAGAGGTGGAATTGGTTTTCGAAGCAAAGCGCGCGGTGTTGGAATCAGTTGTCTCCAGAGGGGGAACAGGAGGGAAACTTTTGGCATTGACTATATGTGTGTGTGTGTGTGTGTGTATATATATATATATATATATATATATATATACTTCACACCTCACCTCCCCTTGCATTCCTGACGCGCCCCCAACGGGTCCAAGGTTAAAAGGAAAGTGCCAACAGAGCGCTGGACAGACAGATGCCGGGTTTGCCCCTTATCGCACCCTGATGTGCTGGGTGTGGCGGGAGGCGGACAGAGGGGGCCCTGGTAGGGGTGTGGGTTGGCACCGGGGCGGGAATGCAGGACCCGCGCCCAGAGCCCAGGCTGCCAGGGTCACTGGGTCGTTTTGGAAGCTCCCGGACAGACCACAGTGTCCCGTCCCTGTCCTCTCTTGTGCCCTCCCGTACCGAGGATCTATCCGCTTGGGCTGCGGACGGGCGGGCACCGCGTATCGCAGGTCCAGGCTAGGTGGGGTGGAAGCGCGGGAGGCGACCCAGAGCGGCCTTGAAGGAAGATTGATCTTCGTTAAAATGGTTGCCACTGGCGTCATTATGACCATCAGTGTTATCGCCCAGAGGCTCAGCTGCCAAGCTGAGGCCGCGAGGAGCAGCAGCAAGGCTCGTGGGCGATTCTCCGCCCCGGGTCACAGCGCCGGGAATACCCGGGGCCAAAGGTAAGAAGGGGAGGAAGGGGAGGGCAGGACGGCCAGAAGGAGGAAGAAAGAGCAGGATGGGGACGGGGGGGGGGCGGCGATGGAGTCGCCGGAGGAGGCAGAGTCTCCACTTTCCTCCTCTGAACTCCAAATCTGGTGACTTCGCCAGAAATGATAGGCTTTGAGGAGGGAGGGAAAAAAACTGGCAACGTACAAAGTGCATTTGGGGCGGCCCGTAAGGCACTGTAAGGCGTGACTGTGTTTAAAGTTAGCTGTGGAATTCTGCTATCAAATCATCCAGCCGAGTTCATTTCCCCAAGGGAAAATGCGTGGGCGAGAAGCCTAGCCATCAGCGGGGTTATAAAAGTAAAAAACCCGGGACTTCGAGTTCAGACTCACTCTGCATACGGTGTTAGAAAATCCGAGAAGACCTAGGGATTTCCGTTTGGATACTCCGGCCCAACGCACCTCCCCGGCCACGTAGCACTAAAACGCTTTCAAAACTCCAGGAGATAGTTCCCTTTCCTCCCGCCCCCCCCCCCGTCGTCTGTCTGTCTGTCTGTCTCTTTGTGCTGGGGTGGGAGCAGAGCAGCCAGGCTGAGGTGAAGAAGTGCGGAGGGTGAGAACTCGCCGTCCTATTTGTTAAATAAAATACATATTTGGTCCTGAAATCCAAAAGATAAGTAATCTAGAGCGGAGCGCAAGGTCTCCTTACGCAACTCTTCTTGCATCCTCCCCCTTGTCCTCCCCCTCTCACGCCCCCAGCTTGTAAATGTAAAAAAAAAAAAAAAATCCCTTCCCCACGATCTACTCTGGAAACTCAAAGCATTATCTATTATTTAACACATATCTGTGTCCGAGAAAAAATGAGGAAGGCGCTGCATGATTAGGACCTAAGGGGCAACCCAGCAAACTGAGAGCGTAATGATGCCCCTAAATGACTGGGGAAATGTGCCGCGGCGCGCTCTATTAATCAGACTGTCAATTTCACCCCCGAGGCCAAACCCTCGGGCGAGCAGAGCGGGCTCCAAGCGGGCAAAGGACCGGAGCCTCCTTCCTCACTTCTTGTGTCTTCTCGCCTCCTACCTGGATCTGTTTGTCTGCTCCGAAGCCGAGTTCATTACCCACTGACAGGAGCGTGTATTTATTTGCTTATAAACCTGTTACAATAAATGATTATTCGAACGGCGTCATTCGTACCTTAATGACGAGCGGGCGCTACTTTTTGATGAATGACATCTCGGGCTCAGAAGGATGTATGGGTCATTTTGACCAGTCATTCCCTCGCTCTGGCATCCCACAATTTTTCCGCCTCCCTCCAAAAGAGATAATAATATTTAGAGGCGCTCTCTGGGACTGAATGAGAATTAGCCCTAGGCGCAGTCCATCATTAGGACGGTACAGCCGGGCCACTGTGACATTTTTTAGAAAGCTGAGATGATGGAAAGAATAAGAAAAGAGATGATTCTGATGGAGAGAGGGCTTCACAGCCCCACGGCCGGCAAGAGGTTCTCCAATTTGTCCGACTCGGCTGGCAATGTTGTGCTCGAGGCCCTGGAAAATTCGCAGCACCCGGCTCGCCTCAGCCCGCGCCTGCCGTCCGCCCCCCTGCACGGCGCTCTGGGAGACCTCCCCGCCAAGGGCAAATTCGAAATAGACACTTTATTCAACCTGCAGCACCCAGGCAGCGAAAGCACCGTCTCCTCCGAAATCCCTTCCGCCGCCGAGAGCCGCAAGAAGCCGGGTCATTATTCCGAGGCGGCCGCCGAGGCCGACATGAGCAGCGACGTGGAGGTGGGCTGCTCGGCTCTGCGCTCCCCAGGCGGCCTCGGCGCCGCGCAGCTCAAGGAAAACAATGGCAAAGGTAACCGCGCCGCCCGCGCCGCCGCCCTCTCCAGTCCTATCCTCCTCTCTCCTCCCGCCGCCCCCACCGGCCCTTCCCGGTCCCTTTACCCCTCTTAGACCCTCCGCAAGCGGCGAGCTACGCCGAGCTGGCTCCGGCGGGGGCGGGACAGTGCCCGGGGACCATGCCCTCCGGTTCTGCTCCTTGAAGCTCAGCCTGGCGCAGGCCTGGAGCGCCAAGCCTTTCTGGCCGTTCGGCCTGGCTCCTGAGCCAGAGAAAAGGTGTCGGTCTGCACGCGGGGCCCAAAGCCGGAGCGAGTTGAGCAACCCCCGGCCAGTGGCTGAGCCACGTTCGGAGAAGGGTTCTTGGGGCAGCTGCTCCAACCTCCGCTTCCCACCGCCTCGGAACCCCTAGGGCCAGGTGGAGGGGGCATTCTTCTGGGTCAACGGGAGGGAGCCTCGCGGGGCACCTCTGCTCGACCCGCCCTGGGGTCAGCGGGAGAAGAAGGTGAAAGTAGATTCCACGCCCTAATGGCTCCAGTTTGAGCTGCTGCTGTTTTGTGAACCTTAAAATAATTTTAACCAAGCCCAAAAGACTGGCAAAAGAAGGTTAAAGGCTGTGCAGAAAGATGCCTGCGGTATCTAGACCATGGCAAAGCCAGAGCTTGCCAAACTGTACTAGGGGGTAGGCATTTTCCCTCGGCCAATTTTTCTATTGAGTTGAACATTTCTAATTAAAAAAAAAAAAAACTATTTTCGAATTCCAGTTGTATTATTATTTGGTCATGAAGGGCTCCCCAAACTTTATTGATTCAATTAACGGCAGCAATTTGTAAGCATGACAGAACCTATCCATTCCGGCAGCGCCTCGTCTCCCTGTCGCGCGCAGCCGGGGCGCAGGGCTCGGGTCCTACAGCGACTCATGCGCTGTTGACGGTTTCTTTGCTAGGGTACGCGGACAGCGGCTCCGCCGCAGGCACCACGACGTCGACGTCGGGCTCGGGCCTCGGCAGCCTGCATGGAGGCGGCGGCGGCAGCGGCGGGGGCGCGGCGCTGGGCGGCTCGGGCTCTGGAGCGGATCAGGTGCGGCGCTACCGCACGGCGTTCACCCGCGAGCAGATCGCGCGCCTGGAAAAGGAGTTCTACCGGGAGAACTACGTGTCGCGACCCCGCCGGTGCGAGCTGGCCGCCGCGCTCAACCTGCCCGAAACCACTATCAAGGTATCGATTCCAGAGCGCTTCTGCTCAGGCCTCCCCGGAGGCGTCTGGGTTGATTTTTTTTTTTTTTCTTTTTCTTTTCCCTTTCCCCTTTCTGGATGGGTAGATTTTGCCGAGGGCCTGCAAACTGTCCGTGGGGGGTGGGTGTCACCAAAGGAGTTAATTTATTTATTTCTGGGATGCCGAATCCGAAAGGGTGGCCGCCTGGCTGGCCTGGGAAGGCCCGCGAATGGCGGCGACTCTGCTGCAAACGGTCGCCTCGGCTCGGTTGTCCCAGAGCATGCCAGGTGCCCCTCGCCCATGGCCCCACTTCCCCCTCTGCGACACAGTCTGCTAGCTTTGTTGCTCTAGCCCGAAACCGGGGCGAAACTTTTCATTTGCTCTTGATCTTGGAGATTTATTTTCCACATAAATCGTTACAACACAGAGAAAAGGATACTGTATATATGTATTTTTTAATCGATTGGATTGAGAAAGTAGTCTCCTAAACAGTTTTCTCTTGGGCAACGGGGGAAAAATCAACCTCTCGGGGCAGGAGAAGCACAACGAAATTGTCCTTATTGTCTTTAGGTGACTCATTCTATTTTAGGTCAGGGAGAGATCTAGCCGTGAGGTTGAGCGTTTTCGTGAACACTTCGCGCGGGATTCACATTCTAGAAAAAGAAAGGAAACTCCACGGGGTGGGACAGAAGTGTAGGAACCTCTTTTCGGTTTGACCGAGCTCTTTAATTTTGGGTTGTGACAAATGATGTCTTTATTAGATACTATGTTGGGAGGGGTAGAAAAGTCTTCTTTCCAGTTTAAGAGGACATTGTTCCCACCATTCACTTAAGGCAAATGATTCCAACAAAATCATCCCTTAAATACAAAAATCGGACCCGTGCCCCTAGGGACAGATTCTAGCAGCTCCGAGGGCTCAAGACCCCGCGCGGCCTCCTCCTCAGAAAAGCTGCTGCAGCAGCCTCTCTTCAAAGGCCGCCCAGAATCCCGGTACAAATCCCAGGATTGAGAGACCGGTGCTTAGCGAGGTCGGGCACCGATGGGTGGCGGGAGGAAAAGGAAAGGCTGGGTAGGGATGAGAGGAAGCGGCTAGCAAGAAGGGAGCAGGAGCCCCAGGAGCCGCAGCACTCATACAGGCGGGGGAAGACTTTGCGTTCTGGGGACTGTGCCATGCCGGTCTACACTGCACTCCGCACTGTCCCAGCTGAGCCAGTTGAGGGGATTCGGGGCCGGGCCTAGTCGGAAGGGAGTAGGCCAGGCCACCCGGAGGCCTGGGAGGGGCAGGAAGGCCTGGGGCGGGATCCCGGCCACCAAGAGCTCCCTAACCTGGGCCGCGGCGCGGCTCTCCCCGCAGGTGTGGTTCCAGAACCGGCGCATGAAGGACAAGCGGCAGCGCCTGGCCATGTCCTGGCCGCACCCGGCCGACCCCAGCTTCTACACCTACATGATGACGCACGCGGCTGCCACCGGAAGCCTACCCTACCCCTTCCACTCGCACGTGCCTCTGCACTACTACCCGCACGTGGGCGTCACGGCGGCGGCCGCCGCGGCCGCGGCCTCTGGTGCCGCCGCAGCCGCCTCGTCGCCCTTCGCCACTTCCATTCGCCCTCTGGACACCTTCCGAGCCCTCTCGCATCCCTACTCGCGGCCTGAGCTGCTGTGCAGCTTCCGCCACCCCGGCCTCTACCAGGCGCCCGCGGCCGCAGCGGGGCTCAATAGTGCGGCCTCGG